TAATGGTCACTTGCACGGGTGGTAGAAGAATGCAATTTTTTTTAGAAAAAGTGGTTACAGCCAGCAAACCTTAAGTGAATAACATACTCAACAGGCTGTGTGACTATGGTCAAAATTAATTTCTTTATGCTTCATTTTCTTAATTTCCATAATGAAGATACTTTCACCTCGTTTTACCTCCCAGTTTCCTGTTGCCTCCATAGGGCTTTCCTTGACCTGCCTCAAAAAAGTGTTTTTCAGGTTTGAAAGAGATGTCTTGTTTAAGGTTGTTCTTGTCTTCCAGGGTTAAAAAATATAACTGAAAGTTGAAGTCTTTGAGTAAGACTGCAACACTTCATTATTTGCAATTTATTTCCTGCCACGTCACTAAAAACAGTTAATTTCAGAGCCTCAACTTTATTTACAATCTTCCATTTTGTCTTACATGCTGGGTTTATAGCAGAGAGCAAAAATAAGCATGCTCTTTGCAGTCAATGAATTTTCAAACAAATGAGGAAAGCACAGTAGGCTGAAGCCGAAGAATTCAACATAGTTATATATAGGGAGATGGTGCTAGTTTAACAACATTGTGAAAGCTTCGACAAAACTTTTACCACTCAACCCGCCACTCGTTTTACTACTTTATGTTAATCATTCCATAATGGTTTTACAGTTGTACAAAATAAAGCTAAAGTGCAAAAATTTAAGTCTCAGTGTGCTTAGAGCTTTTAGCATGCTAATATGAAGAGGACTGCTTACGGATGACAGGAGTGACGTGTAACATTTGTAGAACATTCAGAATTTGCTGGCTAAATGCTTTGCATGATCATTTGTGAATATGGTATCTCCATTATACACAAAAGACAACCTGAATTAAAATGAATTTGCTCAGGAATATAGTTACTTGGTAAATGAGGAGTAAACTCAGATCTGTCTGATGCTAGAGCCAGTTCTTTTAACGAGTAAGCATTATAATTAAGCTTTTTACAGCCTATTTAATGATGAACTGTTATGCGAAGAACATCCATTAGCACTTGTTGGTACTGTCTGATAATTTAGGAAATACTTGCTTAATCTCTATGGTTTATTAAAGATATGAGATTAAAATAGATTTACTATTTGTATGTACGGTAGATGCACATATGGAGACATTTATGGAGAGAAAAAAAGGCACAAACACCAAACATATTACTGCACGTTAATGATGAAAGAGAAGACTTCTTTTTGTTACTTAAATAACCATAAACATAATTTATGATGTGTTGGAAAGGAATCATCTCTCTATTATTATCTAGCTTCTTCCATTTTTTTCTTCTCCTAGGAGCCTCTTCAGTAGTCTTTCCTACTTCACCCAAGTAACCTGGGATTTCTTCTAAGTACCAAATTCCTTACACAGGTTCTGAACATTAGAAACACAATATATAAAAAAGGAAGTTAATAGTTTGAAAACTAAGCTTGAGTGCAGATTTTTACTTTACACAAGAGCTCTACAAAATTTCAAAAATCTCTAATGCCTCAAATACCTAATTTCACTACTTCAGAATCACAATTAGGAAAAAAAATTACACGCTTCTTATAGTACTTCTTAGTATTAATTATATTTTCTCCAATCTATGATACCATCAATTGTAAAATGGCTTCATAAGATGCTCTACTCAATTATACATATTAGAATCAAAATTCCCTTCACACACCCCCATATCCACACATCATAGGTGATTCAGCTGCTACAATAATTTTTATTCCTTAGACTCATTATACAGTATTTATTGAAAGACTTTTAAATTTGGTCCCAGACTTTTATTTTATATTATTCTTTAGTTTTCATATAATTCTGAATACACATAACTTTTCATTTTGAGGCCAAGTTTTTAAATATTTATTATTCTTATTTTATGTATATGAGTGTATTGCCTGCATGTAGGTAGGTGTACCTACATGTAGGTAGGTGTACACTGCCAGCTCGTGACAGTTTTCATTATTTCATATTTATGAATAATTAATCATAAATGTTAACACCAGTTCTGTTGTGAAAATGTTGGTGTGTAGTTATTGCGTATAATTTTATTTTATTTTATTTTTATTTTATGTGTATGAGTGTACTGCTTGCATGTAAGTAGGTGTACTTGTGTCGTGCAGTGACCTCAGAGGTCTGAAGAGGGCACTGGATCCCTTGGAACTGGAGTAATGGATGGTTGTTAGCCACCATGTGGGTGCTAGGAATCGAACCTGGGTTCTCTGCAAGAGCAGCAAGTGCTCTTAACTGTTCAGTCATCTCGCCAGCCCCCTGATGCCAAGTTATAATCATTGAAAAGTAGACATAAGAAATTATACTTGGGGCTGGAGCGATAGGTCAGCAGTTAAGAGCACTGGCTGCTCTTGCAGAGAACCCAGGATCGGGTCCCACCACCCACATGGCCCACTCAGCATCTATAACTCCAGTTCCAGAGGATCCAATGCCTTCTTCTGACCTCTGAGGTCACTTCACGACACAAGCGCACCTAGTTACATGCAAGCAATACACTCATACACATAAAATAAAAATAAAACAAAAAAGAAATTATACACAATAACTACACACCAACATTTTCACAACAGAACTGGTGTTAACATTTATGATTAATTACTCATAAATATGAAATAATGAAAACTATGTCACCAGCTGGCAGTCTAAAAAACCCAATTTCAGAGATAAAAATGTCAGGAAAATGTGTTTCAGAATAGTAATCATAATTGTTTTTCTTTTTTCCTCCCCTCATGCCTAATCTTACCTTCCAAACATTTTCCCCCATTTCCTCCACAATATAACTGCCAAGTTATTGCACTCTGGCAGCAGTAACAAGATACCTTTCAAAACCAGGTTAAGATGGGTGTCGTGGCACATGCCTTTAGTACAGCAGAGGCAGACAGATCTCTATGAGTTCAAGGCCAATGCTGTCTACATAGTGAGTCCCAGGCCAGCTGGGGCTACAGGGAGACCGTGTCTCAATGAAACCAAAAATCAAAAACCAAACCAAAACAACAAAAAACCCTAGGTTAAAATTCCTAATAGAATTTAACACAGATGTGTATAAAGTCAGAACTTAAAAACAGGTAAATAATACAATTAAGTATGATGAGAGCAAATATATCTCAGAAACACTCAAAATATATAGCAGTACCTAGCATTAATCCCAGGTATTTTTTTAAATCAAACTTTGCTAAAACCTATAGATAATCTAAAACTGCTTTCTGTGAGACTTCTTATTTGTGCTTGATTTCTTTTTTCCTTACCAGAGAGCCTTTTTCCCTTCTACTGATGGGAACACAAGGCAGGTCTAGAGGCTTTTTTTTTTTTAATTGTATTTGTTATTTTTATTTTGTGTATGAGTGTATTGCCTGCATGTATGTAAATGCACCCACATCGGTGTAATGCCCAGCAGAGATCAGCAAATCCCCAAGAACTGGAGTTAGGGATGGTTGTTAGCCACCATGTGGGTGCTGGAACTAGAACCTGGGTCCTCTGCAAGAGCAGCCACTGCTCTTAACTGCTGAAGCATCTCTCCAGCTCCAGTTCTAGAGGTTTTTAATGACAACAATGAGGCAAGAAGATGGCTACAGGATGATTATGGGAAGGCAGTCCATGTATTTTACAGTATTACTAATTCAAAACCTTTTCTCCCCAGTAAAATGTACATAAAACCTTAAAGAGCTGTCTAGGCCTCCTGTGATCTTCTTACTGCACAACTAGGTAAAGGATAATAGCTCAGATGTTAAATACAACCTAATGGCACCTTTTAACCCACAGATGCATGTATACTATCTTGCCCACTTCTTACTCAAGTACACAGGTAAAAATAACAGCTACTGCTTTAATAGACTAGGAAGAACCAGAATCTGACTAGCCTTTTCTTACTACCCCTAGTGTTTCCTATGGGGTAAAGCAAAAGCTTTCTAACTAATTTTCTTTCTCATCCTCTGCCCTCAGTCTGAGTAACCCTCTTAAAAGGAAGATGGATTATGTTACTCAGCTGCTGAAACCATCTAATGGCTTCGCAATTCAGAATAAGTTGAGTGCCTTTCCAGATGCTTCATGACCTACCTGCTCTCCCTGATCCTGTCTTCATCTTTAATTCTTCCTCTCAATTCTTACCCCCAGGCTTTAAACTCCCTCAACCCCAGGCTTCCTTGACATTCGGACAAGTTTCTATTTGGTAACCTTTGCAATGACTGGGCCTTCTGACTGCACTTCCTGAAGACATCTGTACAGTCAATTCTTATCCGTGTCACTTCCTTACTAGAAAGCAATCGTCTCTGTGAGGCCTCCGGCCACCCTAAAAATTCAAATTGTACCCTTCTTCTCTGCTTAATTTCTCCCTGTTCAATACTCATAATCTAAAATATGGTATGGAAGCTGGAGAGAAGGCTCAGTGATTATGAACACCTAACTGTTCATATCGAGGACCTGCGTTCGGTTCCCAGCACCCCTATCAGGCGGCTCTAACTTCTAACTCCAGTTCCAGTGGATCCGACGCCTTCTACCTTGTACCACCTGGCACGCCAAGTGGTGAAATAAACTTAAGCAGGCATACACATATAAGAAAATACGGTATGTTTAGCTAAACAAAACCTGAGCTGGAAAGCGAGGACAGAATTCTTGTTTGGTTAATTGCTCTTTCTCCTTTATTTCAATGACTAAAGTGCCTCAAGTATAGTGATAATTGGCGCTCTAATAACTTTGCTGACGCAATGAATTCCTTCCTTCACCCCTTCCCCACAAACACTGAAAACCTTTGACACACTCCTATCAAAGTAAAAAACTTAGGAATTCCACCCACTCCGAACAGTAGCATTCTTTCCCTCTGCCCTGTGTCCATTTCCAAAACTTGAATCACAAGGCGTCAAGCTTTTCCTGTTTTCTCATTCCAAGGAGGGTGCAGCCACACTTCCTACCGGCCCCCGAAGGCCAGGCTCTCTCTCCTGGAAGAGTTAAGGGGACTCGGGACCGGTCCGGGCCAGCCCAGACCCTCTGAGTCACTCACATTAAGCAGCGAAGAGCAGCTCCAGCGCGGCCTCAGCCAGGTGTAGGCAAGGACGGCGACGCGCAGGCGCGGCAGTGAGAAAGGCCCCCGGGAGGTGTCCCTGCTAAATGCTTGAGCGCGTCCTACACGAGGTCCTCACCCCCGCGCCAACCACCATCTTAGTCCTCCATTTCCTCACTCACTATCACCAGTCCTCCCGCATCTCTTTCTCTTTCTTTCATCTCACAGTCGGTTTGGGCGAGGGACAGACAGCCTGGAATTAGGGTCCTTCCTCGGGGGGGGGGGTCGCGTGGCTGTGACGTCATAAGTAGCGGCCGCACCGAGGAGGTAGTAGGGGAGGTGTCAGGGGCGCTAGGCGCGTGCTCCCGGCCAGGTTCTCAGCAGCGAACCCCCGCAGGCTAAGGCCCGTCCAGAAGCGCCCGACACGCCAAGCCCGGCGCACAGGGCCGGGGCGCTCAGACGCTCCTCCCCCTTGTCTTTGTGCCCGCCGGCATTCCCGGTTCTGGCAGGTATTGCGGCGTCCCTGTTTTCTGTGTGGTGTGGTGCGGGTTGTGGGAGACAGCCGGGCACGCGGAGGAGCGGCTGGCGGGTCCCCAGCAGGTGCAGCAGGCTTATGGAGCTGCTGGCTGCAGCGAGACTCCTGCTTAATCACAGTCTCACCCGAGTCTTGGAAGCTATAGGGAGCTTTGAAAGGAACTCTTTTATCACCGCTGCGAACGAAGGCTGACGGGGTTAGAGAACCTGGAATCTTCCACTACTTCCCTAAAATAAGGACTTCCGCTTTGGCATGTTTCTGTTTTTTAAGCTTTGTCCGTGTTCAAAAGTCTAATGTTCCTTTGAGCATTAAGAGAAAGTGAAAGAGTATTAGAGTGAATTTAGAATTGCCCTGGCCGTCTTTCAAGGCCTCCTGTCCTTATCTTTTTCCTACTTACAGCTTGAGTGAAGCTATTAAAAATGAATTAAATATTTTCTTACTGAAAAAATGCACATACACTTTTATTCAGGATGAAATCAACGTCTTTTCACCTTATTTTTTTTTTTAACATTTCTCCTCCAGTGAGTCATTCATCTCCAAGTTCTTTCAAACTGATACTGTGTCTTGTTCATCTAAAGATTGTGTCTTGAATACTAAAGTGCAGCAGTTCTTTTTCACGTTCAAGTCTGATTGGATATAACTTTCCATAATTTGAGATCTATTTTTTGAATGAGAAATTAAAGTCATGTTTCTACTGACGTATTAAGATAGCCCATGATATCTGTAAAATTTGGAAGTGATTATAATTATTTTCACATCAACTTTTGAAATTATTTTGACTCCTTATTTGCTAAAATGAGAATAGCAATGACTCTCCTCCCTATATCCCTGTGAAACACACTCATCCATATTACCAAATGTGTAGGTCCTTTCCTACTGAATACCCTTTGCAAATGATCAAACAGTTCTGAGAGCATGCAAGAAATTTTATTTGGTTGCCAGTGAACAAAGAAGGGGAGCTCATGCTCTAAAGGCTGCTTCTAGAGTGAGTCTGAGGTCTGGAGTTTATAGTATGAAGAGGTATGTGCAGGATGCTGTCATCAGAACTTTTCACCAAAAGGGGAGATTCACAGGAACCAAGGTGCCACCTTCTTTCATCCCTATTTTGGCATAGTTGTATCTGTCATAGCACCCGTGGGTGTGTTTTTTCTTTTCTTTTTTCTTTCTTTTTTTTTTTTTATAAGGAGTTCAAGTTCATCTAAATTTTCAAGATGGTACCCAAACCAGAATGAGCCAGTCTGTCTTTCTCCACATGGTGGGCAGTCAAATGCATGTGATTATGGACATCCAGCTTTTAATTATTTAAAGCAAGTGGCATCTGTAAGCAAGCAGAACTATCATTAATTGCTGGGTATACTCTAGTGACACTTGCATTTTCTCTTAGCTGGGCCTTTACTTGCACATTGTCAAGGTTAGCAATATTTATATTTCTTTTTTTTTGGTCTTTTTGAGACAGGGTCTCCGTGTAGCCCCAACTGGCCCGGAACACACTATGTAGACCAGGCTGGCCTCGAACTCACAGAGATCCACCTCCCTCTGTCTCCCAGATGCTGGGCCTAAAGGTGTGTACCACCATGCCCAGCTTCCATATTTATATTTTTTAAGTGTAGTATTTGCTCTATGTGTTAAAAACAAATGTTTAGGACAGTGGAGATCTATAATGATTTCTTAGTGGAGAGCCAAGTAATATGCTAGATTCCATTTTTTTCTTAGTGTTTTAATGTCCCATGAATATTTTTTTAAATATCAAAGTTAATTTAATTCTTTCCTTCCCTCCAATGGTAATGCAGTTTATGCAATAGTTCCATAAGTATAAACCCCAAATATATTTTTTGGTTTATATGTTTAGACATACATTTAACCTCCACTTTAAAAAAAAAGATTTATTTTAAAATATGTGCATATGTGTGTGGGTATGTGCACATGTGAGTCCAGAAATCTGGAAGAGAGTATCAAATGCCCCAGAACTGGAGTTAGAGGCAGTTGTAAGTTGCCTAATTTGGATGTAGGGAAATAAACTTGGGTCCTGTGCAAGAGCTGTACGTACTCTTAACCACTGAGCCATCTCTCACATCTGCACTTCTTAAAAAAAATAAAACTCGCTCTATTGTTTATCTTTCTGCTTTCCATTGGCAGAAGGCACACAGATTCTCTTCAGCAAGTTCTCTCACCTTTCTATGACATACATAGAAGCTTCCATTTCATTCCTCTGCTTGGAGATATTTCCCACAGAGTCCAATGTCTTTTTGTTTAATTTGAGCAAATGGTGTCTTGGTTCTTCTGCATAGCTTCTCTTTTAGGTTTATACTTATGGAACTTTTGTAAAAGTTGTAGCGTTTCTTAACTCTACATCTATTTTGTTTCTTCCCTCTGTTTTGCTAAGGCACACCCTAAAGGAATGTGTTAATAAAAGGTGGATGGGTGATACATCTTGTATGGCAACTTGAACTCTTTGGTGCCTTTGGATGGTAATTTTGTTTTCTAATTTTTGCATGGCTGTAAACTACTATTTATAACACTATAAATGATTTTTTTGATGTATATAGCATCAAAATTGTGTTCTTTCAAATCTTTTAAAAAATATTTTCTTTATTTTTTATGTGTATGAGTGTATTGCCCGCACGTATGTGAGTGCACCTGTGTCGTGCAGTTGCGCGTAGGTCAGAAGAGGGCTTCGGATTCCCCTGGGAATCAAACCCAGGTCCTCTGCAAGAGCAGTCAGTGCCCTTAACTGCTGAGCCATCTCTCCAGCCTGCCTCTTTCAAATCTTTTTAGCTTTTGTTTTCTAACTTCCATTATTGCTGCCAAGAAGATTAGAATAGCTGTGTGATTGTAATTTGTTCATGTGAGCTGTTTTCTGAAATGGTTTCAAATTTCTGTTATGCTGGATGTTTTAAAAGTTTATGGAGCCATGTCTAGGTATAAGTTTATTCTTGCAGTGACTTCATTCAAGAACTAAGTATCCATAGGTGTTCTTTTCATTTATACATTTTAACATTGTAAGCCTTTCTTATTTGAAAATACGTGCTTCTCTTAAACTATGGGGAATTTTCCTTTATTCTGCCTTTCATAATTTAAGATCCTTTGTTTTTCTCTTTTATTTTTCTGAAACCTCTATAAAATAGTTGTGCTTGTACCTTGATCCTCTGTTATCTTTTTTCTTATATTTTTATGTTGGCCTTTGTGCTCAAAGTTTTGGGCAAGTTTCTTATTTCCTTACCCATATGGGTTTGCAACCATTGAATTTCTATTCATTGTTGTATTTGATTATTTTTCCTCATAGTCTCTTAATTTTGTTTTTAATGAGGTGAAATTAACATACATTTCAAAGTATTGGTTTTAAGTGATCCTTTTACTTGTATAAATTTAAACTTGTAACTACCTCTACCTCCACCTTTACCAAGATAAGGAACTACCTCACAACTATGGAAAGTTCGTCTGTTTCCTTAGCCACTCAATTCCATCTTCCTCATCCAGGGTACACCTTCTGGTTTTTATCACTAAGTTTAGAGCTGTTATTCTAGGGTTATATTTAAAAGCAGTCACATAGTAGGTACTGTCCTGTGTCTGCTTCTTTCCCTGACTTGTTTTTGTGATGCTTCTATGTTTTGTCATGTTTGTTCCTTTTTTATTGTTGACAATATTTCTGTCATATTAGTTTGCCAATACTTGTTTGTCTTTTCAACCATTCAGTTCTGGGCACTGCTTCTGGTTTTTGGCTATTATCAGAAGAGCTATTATGAATATTTTGATAGGAGATATTTTATGGACATACTTTCATTATCTTGGAAGAAGTGAAATTCTAAGGCCCAAGTTAGGTACATTTTTAAATTTAGAAATGTTTTCCAAATAGCTTTGAAAGTTTGTCTGCCCTTTTTCATTCCTGCCAGTACTGTGGAGCACAGTTCCATATTCTTCAAGCACTTGCTATTCCAGCTGTTTTAATATTAGTTCTTTCAGTAGAAGAGGAAGGCATGGTGTTGTGGTACTAATTTGCATTTTTTTCTATGATTAATGAAACTAAGTACTTTTAAGATTTTTTTAATTTTTATGTGTATGAGTGTATTGTCTGCATGTATGTACATGCATCCGTGTCGTGCTGTGCCTATGGAGGTCAGAAGAGGGTGATGGATCCCATGGAACTGGAGTTATGGATGGTTGTTCGCCACCATGTGGTTACTGGGAACTAAACCCAATTTTCTACAAGAGTAGCCAGCTCTCTTAACCACTAAACCATCTCTCCAGCCCTGAAACTGAGTACTTTTTAATATGCTGTAGCCTATTTGTAGGTCTTTTGTGAAAAATATGTTTATGATTTGAAGGTTTATATACTGACTTGTTTATCTTTTTATTATTGAGTTGTATGAATTCTTTATAGATTTTAATTGTGTGTTTAAAATATATGTACATGCATATTAGATAAAGAAAAGGTCATCTGTAGTATGCATAATACAATGTCATACATATTTTTGCCTTGTCTTTGGCTTGCATTTTAATTCTTCCAAGGAAACCTCTTTATTTTTGATGAAGTGCACTTTTTTTTGTCTTTTATGGTTAATATTTTTTGTGCTCGCCTAAGAAGTCTTTTCCTAACTTAAGTTTGTAGAGATATTCTTTATATTTTCTTTTAGAAGATGAACAGTTTTTGCTTTTACTTTTAGGTGTGTGATTCATCTCAGATTTTTGTTGCTGTATCCATAGGGGTTGAGATTGTGGATAGCTTGTCCCAGCACCATTTGTTTAAAGGATTATCCTTGGGATTACCTTTTCATTTTATACTCTCTCAAGAAGAAAAATTCTTCACAAGTAATAAAGGTCCACTCTTTCTCAAATTTGGGGAGAAATGTACATTGGAAATAAGAGATAGAATCTGAAAATAATCAAAGAAGGGGAAAAGTTTATAAAAGTTAGATTATTGGAAAAATTCAACTTAATGTGGAAGTTTCAAGCCAGATGAAACAAGTCTTTAAACAA